CCGTGCCCCCTGCCAGCCTCTCGGCTGACGGAGAACAAGAGGGAGAAGGTGGGTAAGGGCAGGCAGCTTCTCCGAGCTGAGCTCCGAGGGGAGAGCGGCAGCAGGATTTCATCAGCCTGCCTCTTAAGGCAGTGAAGTCTCCATCCCCTCCCATGCTCCCTCCCCAGCCTGACCCTGTCCGGCACAGTGGTGGCGGGACCTCAGCCTTCATCTGGAGCTTCCCAACACGCCGTAAGTCCTTCTTGGGTTGGGAAATCAATTTTCCCTCTGACTGTTTTATGGTCACCCCATCAGCCCCTCTGCAGCCGGGATAAATTCTGGGGGTTGGCTTTGGGACTGTATCCTGCTCTGCTTTGGGAGCAGGGAGAGGGAACAGCCCTGCTGACACCCCCTGATGACGGAACAAATGGGCCATGGTGGGCTGGGGAGCTGCCAGGCTTGTTTGCGGGTGGGAAATGGGGCAAGGAGCGCTTGGGAACCCTGGAGGGAGGTTGCTGGGGGGGAGCTTTTGGATGGTTTCCCAAAGGAAAGGCTGTGGCTGTGGCAGGATGGGGGTGAGGGTGCAGAGCCATGGTGATCAGCATCATCCTGGCACCTTGACATCAACAGGGAGAGGGGCAGCGGGAGCAGGAGCAGCAGAAGGGTTGGGGAAGCATCCCGCAAACCTCCCTGTCTCTCCGCAGCCATGAATCCCTACGTCAACTGCTCTGGCCCCGAGTTCCCCCTGCCCCAGCGAGACTTTCCTGTGGAGCCCATCAGCCCTGATTTCTGCAACAGAACTCACCTGGAGACCATGTTCGACCCCAAGGATGCCAACCTGACGGAGGAGCAGCTGCGGGATAAGTACCTGGGACCTCGACGGTCCAATTTCTTTGTCCCTGTCTGCGTCATCTACCTGCTCATCTTTGTGGTGGGGGCTGTGGGCAACACGCTCACCTGCATCGTCATCCTCCGGCACCGGTTCATGAGGACACCCACCAACTACTACCTGTTCAGCCTGGCTGTCTCCGACCTGCTGGTGCTGCTGCTGGGGATGCCGCTGGAGCTGTACGACATGTGGAGCAACTACCCCTTCCTGCTGGGCGCCAGCGGCTGCTATTTCAAGACGCTGCTCTTCGAGGCCGTCTGCTTCGCCTCCATCCTCAACGTCACAGCCCTGAGCGTGGAGCGCTACATCGCCGTGGTGCACCCACTCAAGGCCAAGTACGTGGTGACCAGGAATCATGCCAAGAGGGTCATCGTCACCATCTGGGTCTTGTCGGTTGTCTGCTCCATCCCCAACACCAGCCTCCATGGGCTGCAGCCTCTCTATGTGCCTGGCCGAGGGCGGGTGCCCAATTCGGAGATCTGCACCCTGGTGAAGCCACGCTTAACCTACAACCTCATCATCCAGATCACCACCATCGTCTTCTTCTTCCTGCCCATGGGGACCATCAGCGTCCTCTACCTGCTCATTGGCCTGCAGCTCAGGAAAGAAAAGATGCTGGAGGCCTTGGGAGCCAAGTCCGGCAGTGGCCGCGACTGCCACAATGCCCGGGGGCAGAAGAAAGGCAAGAGGAGGCAGGTCACAAAGATGCTGTGTGAGTCCAATGCTGGGGAATCCAATGCTGGGGATGGGCAGAGCCAGGGAGTATCTCCCAAGGCTGTGGTGGGAG